TGTGAGGTGTTGGTCTGCACCTAGTGGGGGATGTCTCCCAGTTAGGCTACTCAGGGGTCAGGGACCCACTTGAGCAGACAGTCTGTCCATTCTCAGATCTCAACCTCCATGCTGGGAGATCCACTGCTCTCTTCAAAGCTGTCAGACAGGGGCATTTACCTCTGCCGAGGTTTCTGCTGCTTTTTGTTTAGCTATGACCTGTCCCCAGAGGAGGAGTCTACAGAGGCAGGCCAGCCTTCTTGAGCTGTGGTGGGCTCCACCCAATTCGAGCTTCCTAGTGGCTTCGTTTACCTACTTAAGCCTCAGCAATGGTGGGCACCCCTCCCCCAGCCTTGGTGCCGCCTTGCAGTTAGATCTCAGACTGCTGTGCTAGCAATGAGAGAGGCCCTGTGGGCGTGGGACCCTCCCTGCCAGGTGTGGGATATAGTATCCTGGTGTGCCGTTTGCTAAGACCCTTGGTAAAGCACAGTATTAGGGTGGGAATTACCCGATTTTCCAGGTGTTGTGTTTCTCAATTTCCTTTGGCTAGGAAAAGGAATTCCCTTCCCCCTTGCACTTCCCAGGTGAGGCGATGCCTCGCCCTGCTTCAGCTCTCGCTGGTCGGGCTGCAGCCGCAGACCAGTGCCAACTGTCTGACATGCCCCAGTGAGATGAACCCGGTACTTCAGTTGAAAATGCAGAAATCACCTGTCTTCTGTGTCACTCAGGCTGGGAGCTGGAGGCTGGAGCTGTTCCTATTCGGCCATCTTGGGTACACCCCCCCATATCCCCTTTTCATAGTAAGTCTTCAAAACCTGGTGGATATTTTGCACTTACCATACATCCCAGTTTGGACCACCCCTGTTTTAATTGCTCGATAGCCATGTTTAAGCTCTTTGAGTACATATATGATATGTGTTTTGTTTTCCAGTGCTTAGCATATGCCTGGTACCTGATACATATGTTTAAATACTTGTTAAATTAACAAAGGAATGAATAAGTGGCTGATGGACATGGATAGGTGTGTTAGTCATCTATTGGTGTGGCTATCATATTAAGCAATGCCAACATAGAAAACAGGTTTTCCCAGTGTTCTGCAAAGTGCTATTCAGGCATAGCTGCAAGATAAGCCTCCAACTCCCCACTTCCAACCAGAATGGCTCCTGGAATCCCTCTTCTGCAGAAGGGAGACTAGTGAAGCAGTGATGGGGAGTGTGACCTTGAGCCAGCTGCCTGCGCTTAAACTTAACCTCAGCCACTTTCCAGCCACAGTATCTTAAGCAAGTTATCAAATCTCTCTGTGTTTCACTTTTCTCTTCTGAAAAATGAAGATAATTTAGTTCCTCTCAGAGTTTTGTGAGAATTGTTTTAATACATATACAGTGCTTAGAGCAGTGCTTAGAATACAGTAAGCACTTTATAAATGTAGTCTGTGTATAGAAATTTTAAAATGGCTACTGTCTCCTGCTCTTTTAACATAGAAATCTGATTCTGCCACTTCTTGGTTAAAACCCTTCCAAGATTTCACTGCAAGGACCTGACCCCTGACTGCCTCTCCAGTCTCCTTTCAAGCCTCTTCCCTGGCTGTCTGCACTCCTGCCTCTGTTTTCACTTCAACTTCTCCGCACTTGCTGGTCCTTTGCCTGGAGCCAACTTCTGTTAATCCTGTCAGTTTTGCTAAAATATTATTTCCTCATGGAGGCCTTCCCTGGGCCTCCAGATTAAATTAATTCCCCTTCCTAAACACTTATAATATGCTATACATTTCCTCTCATTGCACTTGTCCCAGCTGAAATTACTTAGTTTTAGGTATGATTAGTTGTTAATGCCTGTGCCCTCACACCCTTCTACCCTATGGTAAACTCTTTGAGGACATACATCGTATCTGTTTTCTTTTCCCATGCTTAGCATATGCCTGGTACCTAACACATATTTTAAAATACTTATCAAATAAACAAAGGAATGAATAAATTGGTGATGGACATGGATAGGAGTATTAGTTATCTATTGCTGCATAATACATTACTACAAACTTACGAACTTAAAACCACACACATAGATTATCTCACAATTTCTATGAGACAGGAATCCAGGCATGGCTTGCCTGGGGTCTCCACTTAAGGGTCTCTCAAGAGGCTGCAATCAAAGTGCTGGCAAAGGCTAGCATCTAACTGAAAAGCCCAGCTAGAAAAGGGTTCTCTTCCAAGTTCATGTGGCCGTCGGCAGGGTTCAGTTCCTTGTGGGCTGCTGGAGTAAGGGCTCAATTTCTTGCTGGCTGTTGGACAAAGCCTGCCTTCAGTTCTATGCCATGTGGGCCTCTCCATAGGGCGGTTCACAATATGGCAGCTTGTTTCAGAGCCAGTGAGGGAGAGAGTCTGCTAGCAAGAACGTTATAATTCTTCATAAATGTCATCATGGAAGTGGCATTCCATTGTTTTCCATAGTCTGTTGGTTAGAAACAAATCACTGGTCCTGCCTGCACCCAAGGGGAGAAGAGTACTCAAGGGCCTGATCACCAAGGAGGCAGGATCATTGGAGACCATCCTAGAGTCTGTCTGCTACAGTAGTCATGAGGACAGATGGAAAGGTCCACCTAATTTGGTAGTTAATCGGTAGTATATTGTATACTCCTTGTATATGTAATTTGCCCTTCATCTGTTGTATTTCCTGTGCATTTTATTGTGCTCTATGAGTCTTCTGCAGCTCACAGGTAATGGATGCCACAGCCAGACTAAAAATCAACCTCGAGGATGTTTTATATACAGCTGTAATTCTCAATGCACTGTAACTGCCCTAGAATCATACCATTTCTTCTCCTCTAATAGCCCTTCTGCATGTTTGGCAATATCTCTAAAAACTGGTTTTGGAACATGATGAACATATTTGGTACCAAAAATGCTGAATATCAAAATGGATGTTGTTTTCTTCTGGGCAATGAATTTAATACTTGCACTATTCTATGTGATTTCCCATGTGGAAATCTTTTCAGAAGCCAGATAGATTTTTCAAGCATAAATTCATCACCATGCTTTGATGGATGAAATAAGTTTCACTGACATTTCAAATTAGCACTTCTTTTCCTAATCTTATCCCATTCTTAAATGCAGTGATTTGTGAAGCAATATTATATATGTTTCTCCCAATCTTTCCATAATGTATACCCCTTTCAAATGCTGGTAGATGGGTATTTCTTTAGCCAAATTGTACCATTCTGTTTTACTCCTCTCTCAGAAATTGTTCCTCCTGAGTCATTTTATTAATTTTTCTATCCTCCCTCCAGTTTTGCTTTTGGTTCCATTATTTGTAATATAATAAGATGCTGGGACAAAAAATAAATGCAGACATGCACTTAAAAGAAAATAACTACCTGAAAAACATCAGAATATTTCAATCTGTTGTCAAGCGATATATAAGAAAGCTACTGATCCTCACCAAGATGAGGCTAAAGCCAAATATTTTTTCTTTCCAATCCCACAGTCTCCTACCTCCAATTTCTGGCAACCTTCTTTTGAGAGTCAACACTGCTTGGCTATTCATTAATGGAAAATTCACGCTTACTACCCAAATTCACAAAAAAATTGTGATTCTGTATGTAATGGTCTTGTTTGTGGCATTGTTTGATTATTTGCTTGAATAAGCCCTTCTTTAGGAATTTACATAACCCGAAACGTAAGTGCTGATTTTTCCCAGGTGTCTATAAAACAATTGGCCTTGATAACAGTCAGCGTTTCTAGCTTTTATTCATCATCCTCTTTTTTGAAAGCAAGGACTGTATTTTCATTTTTATGATTTTCTCTTCTCCTAATAACCACCTGCCTCTTGCCAAACCTCATGAGCCACTCTGGTGCCTCTGCCCCAGGCCTCCTCAACGCAGCCCTTCCTTCACTCAAGTGCTGCAGGGGCTCAGACTCCAAGAGGGTATGTTCTGCAGTGGAAGGTACACAACTGTGAAGCCAGATCAGATCTCAGCTCTACCATTTCATTCATTCCTTCCTTCCTTTCTGTTGTTTACACAGTACCTGCTGTGTACTAGGTGCTAGGGTCTATGTAGGATATACTGTGTGACTTAACCCAGCTTCTTCCTCTGTATAATAGGTGAAAATGAGGAAATTGTTAAGATCAGAGGTCATGTATGTGAAGTACCTACTGGCATATCTGGGACCCAGCAGGGCTTTGCAAATGGCAGCTAAAGCTCCTCCTAACTGTGCTTTCCCTGCTATGTCATGCTCCTGTCATGTCCGACGTCTACAGATCCTGCTTTCTGTTTCTAGAGACACTGGATCCTTCTTGTTCCCCTTTCCCCTTGATTTCTGATCAGACTAGAAAAATTAGTCATACTGCATGTACTGAATAGCCACGGATGCAGAGAAATGTATTACTACTCTTGAGATAATATTTGATTCAAAAGACCTCTCTTTGAGGCCAGGTGCATGCCTGTAATTCCAGCATTTTGGGAGGCCAAGGCCTTGGGAGGATTACTTGAGCCCAGGAATTTGAGTCCAATTAAGCAACATAGTGAGATTTCATCTCTACTAGAAAAAATAAATAAATAAGATTTCTGGTCAACCACAGTTCTGTGTTCTACATTTTCATCATCCAGTATTTTCTGCTGCTTTCAAGATTGGTGTAGTTCTAGAAATTCTTGACCTGGTATCCAATTCTAGACCTTGATAACATGAGCATCTAGGTTTTATTTAACAATACAAATTACACTCAGGAAAGAAGGAAGAGAAAATGATTAAGCATCAAATATAGGCATGATACTTAAAGCTTTCACATACATTTAATGCTTCCAGCAACCCTGGGAGGGAGGCTTATAGAAAGTAAACAATTTGTCAAGACTTGTAAACTTTTTAGGGGTAGAACAGAGACTTAAAACCCACTATTCCGTGACTTGTAAACCAGTGTCAAATCCATATTGCCTCCACAGAGACATAAACAGTATTTTTCTGTAACTCATTTATTTTATCTCTAAATGTCTTTATCCACAGACCATCCTAAACTTCTTTCTTCTCAAACAGGTCATAGACCTCAGCAACAATGATCTGTCCACCATCCTACCAATGATGATCATAGCTTTAGAATTTCCCCATCTAATGGTTGACTTGGCTGATAATCACTGGCAGTGTGATGATAGTGTGACAGTCTTTCAAAATTTTATTTCTGAATCCTGGAGGAAAACGTGGAATGTCATTTGCAACAGGTCTATAGGTAAGTCAGTAACGTCTCTCTGAAAGGCTCCGTTTATACTGAAAAATGCACATAAACATTTTAGTCTCATTTGAAATAATGACAGTCCCCCTGAAAGCAAAAGTGCTGATCCTTGGCATTAGTCAGTCTGTGTCATAGAAAAATCACTGGTGCCAAATAACTGTTTTCTTCAGTTCATCAATTATTTTCTTCGTGTGGTCAAAGAAACACAGTTCAACTCACTCAGCATCAATTGGATTTGGTCAAAAGGAGGAATTCCACTAGAAGAGAGTTTTGTTCTGACACACCGAACTTTATTCTCAAGAACCCTAGACAGGCTGTTGGCATTAGACAAGAATTAAAAATTGAGTAAAATTTAATGTCACAGTTTTATCCAAATTCCTAACAAATAACCTATTAAAGAAAGAGCTTTTAAAATTAGAAATATAATTATTTTAGATGTTTGCTAACATTCTAAAGGTGTGATCCTCTACATACACAAAACACACACACATATTACAAAAGCATATTTTCCTTTGATTTGTTCCTTGCCCCTCTCCCAAAGTGCTGGAATATGTTACTGGGGTTGAACATTCTGGGAAGCTTTTTTTTACATTAACTACCTTGGCTAAATCTCAACCCCATATATATAAAAAAGAAAGTCCATGAAAAAAAATGAGTCATAGATTCTGTTCTATTCAGGACTGCCATTCAAGTAGGAACATGGCCATGCCTACCAGGTTTAGAGGAAGTTCATGAAGATCAGAGAGAAGTCTTAATGTCATCAGCTACATTTGTTTCACTCCACAACTGACATTCTGAGGGTAGAGAGCGAAATGTCAGGAACCAATAAAGAAAACGGAATATTTTTGCTGTTTACTAGTACATGGAGTAGGTAAGATTATGGAGGAAGGAGAAGCCACGTACATGTGGCTGTCCCTCCAGTCTGGCTTCTTCCTCCCACAGGCAGCAGTGAGGCAGGAAGCCTAAGGTACATACAACCTCCAGGACCTCTCAGCAACAGACCTCAGCCTGATAGCCATGTATAAATGCATACAACCATAAACATGCTGTTGGCATTAAACAAAAACAAATGAATGAATAATATTTTTAAACTGCTGATCATGATGTAATGTACACTTTAACATGTAGCTAGATAAGGACTGAGGAGGACTCACAGAAGCTTCTGAAACCCCTAGAATCTGGAGCTGGGGGCAGTGGCTCACACCTGTAGTCCCAGCTGTTCAGGAGGCCAAGGGACAAGAATCGCTTGATGCCAAGAGTTTGAGACCAGCCTTGGCAACGTAGTTACAACCCTTATCTCTGTAAAATGGAAAATAAAAAAAAAGCAGCCCAGGCGTGGTGGCACACACCTGTAGTCCCAGCTTCTCTGGGGGCTGAAGTAGGAGGATCGCTTGAGCCCAGGAGTCTGAGGCTTCAGTGAGTTATGATTGTGCCACCCCTCTCTATGCTGGGTCACAGAGACCCCAATTCTGAAAAAAAGAAGAAAAGCCCCTGCAATCTTATTTCAATGTTTGCTTAATGTGTATTTTTTTAATCCCACTTTCAGGGAGTGAGGAGGCCAATGGGGGTACTCCCCAGAGCAGGATTTCCAGGGAAACCAGCCTTCCTCCCATTCATCTGCATCCCGTGAAAAGCCTCATAAGGAGCAAAGCAGAGAGGCCCCAGGGAGGAAGGCACATGGGTGTTTCCACTCTGGGGAAGAAGGCAAGGACCAGCTCTGGTCTCAGGGAGAAGCAGAGATGGCTGCCAGGGAGTGTTAGAAGCAGGCGCGATGTGCAGGCTGCCGGCAGAAAGGAGGACGCTCCCCAGGACCTGGCTCTGGCAGTGTGCCTGTCAGTGTTCATCACATTCCTTGTCGCCTTCTGCCTGGGGGCTTTCACAAGGCCTTATGTTGACAGACTGTGGCAACAAAAGTGCCAGAACAAAAGCCCTAGCCTGGACAACGCGTGTTCAAACGAGGGCTTTTACGATGACATCCAAGCTGTGGGGCACACACCACACCCAGAGTCCCATCTGCGCCAAGCATTTCCTCATCTAAGCCTCTACAAGAACCAGACCCCTTTCTGGGCGACACAGCCACACTCACATGCCACCATAATTCCTGATAGAACTCTGGGAAGCAGCAGGAAGGATCCTGGCAGTCCGCAGAGCTCAGGACAGTGTGGGAACAACACCGGGACAGGAAGTGGAAATGATAGTGCAGTCTATTCCATTCTCCAGAGATACCCACATGCTGGTAACCATGAACTAATGTCAGCAACACAGGATCACATCCATAGGAATGATGTTCTTGGAGAACGGACTTACGAAACTGTGGCCCAGGAAGAGTCTCTCAGTGCACATTCAGTGGGCGTCTCTTCTGTAGCTGGCACGTCTCGTGCTGTCTCTGGCTCCTCTCACGCTGTCTCTGGCTCAAGCTGTTATGATTCCAATGAATTAGACCCATCCCTCTCCGGAGAAATGACAGCTTCCCTCTGTAAAATGCTAACACATGCAGAAGCACAGAGGATTGGAGACAGTAAGGAAAGAGGGGGCACTGAACAGTCACTTTGGGACTTGCAGATGGAATTTTCTAAGGAAAGGCAAGTGAGTTCGTCCATCGATTTGCTGAGCATACAGCAGCCAAGGCTCTCGGGGGCAAGTGCTGAGGGAGCACTTTCAGCCCACTACAGCGAGGTTCCACACGGTGACCCAAGAGACACGGACCCATCAGTCTTTCCTCCAAGATGGGATGGTGGCCTGGATATCACTCCTTCTAACAAGGAACCAGTGCAGAAATCCACTCTTTCTGACACTTGCTGTGAGTTGGAGAGTGACTGTGACTCTGATGAGGGGTCTCTGTTCACTCTGAGCTCCATAAGTTCAGAAGGTGCGAGGAGCAAGACTGAAGAGGCAGCACCTGACGAGGAGCCCCTGCAGGACGAGAGCTCTGGGGCAAGCAAGGACAATGTGACGGCTATAGACAGTCTTGAGGACAATGTCACCTTCCAGACAATTCCAGGGAAATGCAAGAATCAGGAAGATCACTTTGAAAAATCTCTCATTTCCACTCCAGACTCTGGTGTGTACAAGACTCATCTGGAAAATGCCTCTGACACTGACAGATCTGAGGGCCCATCACCCTGGCCCAGGTCACTGGGGAATAGTCCCTTAGGGGATAAGATTCCGGGCATGTTTACTTATAATTATGACACAGCTTTTCAATCCAAGGCAGCAGAATGGCATTGCTCACTTAGAGACTTAGAATTTTCTAATGTGGATGTTTTACAACAAACACCACCATGTTCTGCTGAAGTTCCCTCAGATCCTGATAAGGCTGCCTTCCATGAAAGAGACTCAGACATTTTAAAATAAGAAACTTTCATTAAGGAAATATTCACAGCTCTAAACAATATTCCTTTCATGATCATGGCAGGGGAAAACTAAAACCTTCACAACAAGATCCTGAAGGAGACAACATGAATTCCAACCAGGTGGACACTGATGCAAATGAGGGTTTTGTGGGCCCACTTGAGGAGGATGATTCTAGAAGGGTTATAAGCTAAACACACTTGTTAACATCCTGTGGGGATGAACCTGCTCTTCAGTGTGAAAGAGAAAGAGGGGAATATTTTGAGATCATTCCAAGAACCATGCACCATTATTACAAGAGCTCCCAAATGAAACCAGTTCACTAAGAACACAGGAGCACTTCATCAATAGGTTGGGATAAATATTCAGAAGATAATCTGTTGCAGTTAGACAAAATGATTCTAACTTTCCTTCTCAAATACAGACGTGGAACAATCTGATGGGATTTGGCTCTCTGAAAAGAACAGCTTTAGGATGACAAAGACAAGGATGTTCAACTTTATCATCAAAGAGAATTCAAGTGACATTTTTTCATACATATTGAAGCACTTAAATGGAAATGCTGGATAGATTTTAATGAATTCTGAACGCACACTAGCACAACTTTTTGGAGGCTGATCATGAAACTGCAAAATTGAGAAAATTCTGAGTAATTATAAATGTTTTTAAATAAGTTATGTTAAAAGAGAAGTGGGACCACTTTTTAGAACGAAGTGTAAATTAAAAAATCAATTTTCAAGAAAAGAATTGATGATTTCTATAAAGAAAAAGATTCTCTGGCATACCCTTGCCTAGCCCTTCCTTGGCATGACTTGCTACACTCTAGCCATCATGAGCTGTGCCCTTCTGTTCATCCTCTGCTTCACAATATTTTCTCATCTTACTTCTTGATATCTCCCCTCTGCTTACCCTCTTAAAGACAGCATTCCTCAAGGGTGTTTGTTTATTCCTAGTCTTTCTTTATGATTCCTTTCTCCTTGAACCTCACTGCCTCAGCAACCGACTCTACACAGATACGCCAGACCTGCATGGCAAGTCCTACCTCCCTCCCAAGCTCCAGACTCGCATTCTTAACCCTAGTTGCCCAAATTCATATAGGTCATCTGAGCATCTAAAATTCATTGTTGTTTTTTTATACAAAATAGTAATAGACTCAAAATCTCCCTATATTGCCCAGACTAGTCTTGAACTCTGGGGCTCAAGCAGTCCTCCTGCTTCAGCCTGTCAAAGTGCAGGGATTACAGGCATGAGCCACTGTGTCTGGCCAAATTCATCTTTTTCTTTCACAAATATAATCTCTCATATTCCCTTTCTTGGTCAACAGTATCATAACATCCACCCAGTAAACCCAGTTAAAATTTCTGACTTATCTGTCTCCTTTTCATTTTCTATATCTGAGCAGCCTCTAAGCTCTGTGCGGTGGAAGTTCCTGAATGTCTACACAGGTGGACATTTAGGCTTGATAATATGGAGGAGGGCTAGCCAATTTGTGTTAAACCATTGTTTGCATAGAAAACACAGTTTTTACTTACAGTGTATATTTATTTAGGGTAGACTAAGGTTGAAGGTGTTGGGGTTCTGTGGAAGGGCCTTAAGAGCCCCCTAGTCCACATGTTGGCATCATCACTAGTCCAACCAGATCTAACTCCTCAATGACTCTTAACTTTGTTACATGTGCTCTCAATCCCCAAATAAAGCACATCCCTTATCTATTACCTAGATTATTGTGACCTTTAGTACTTCTCCTTGACCCTCATTCACCCCTAAATAATCTTATATCTAACCCATCATGATCCTGCTCAAAAATTTTTGATGACTCCCACTGCCTGTATAAAAACCAAATTCCATAATCTAGACACACCCTACCTTTCCGACTTCATCTCATCACATTGTCACTCAACTGCACATTCTACATTCTGGTTTATGTCATGTAGCATTAATCATTTATTTATTTCGGCAAACCCTTTAGACCTTTTCTGGGCCCCTTATCAATTTCTCCCCAATTGCTATTTTGAACTTTCACTGTCCTTGAATTTTCACTGAGAATATTTAGGAAGAAACTCCTCACTCACCTACTCCATAGCTATGTGCACTTCTTATGTGCACACCTACCCTCATTCGTGTCCTCTCATGACCCAAGGTCATGGGTCCATTCATGTTTCTCTTGCATGCTCTTCCAACCTCCTCCTATCTAATGTATTCTTCCCACAGGATAAGCCTGCTCAAGTCCCTTGGATACTAAAAGAAAATGCCACCCTGCAGCTCCCTCAAAATGCCACCTTCTTCTCTCATAGCTAGGTGTCTCAAAGTGATGGTCAGCAACTCGCCATGGCCTCTTCAGCACACTGCAGCCTGACTTTGGCTCACTTTTCTTTTGACCTGTGCCAGTAAAGGTCACCAACAACCTCCAGTTGCCACATACAATGGGCCCTTCAGTCTTCACCAAGGAAAACCTCTTCAGCATTCCCCAAAGCTTAGCTTAAGGAAGAAGTATAGGCTCCTTCTTTGACCACCGTTGACTACTCCCACCTTGAAACTCATTTTCAGTGGCTTTTGTGATACATCTCTGTAAAGATGAGGTCTCAGGAGTACACAGATGACAAGAAACAGGGATGACTGAAGAGAGTTTAATGAAGGAATCATTTGCAACGATCTAGGATTAAGGTAAACTATAAAGGGAAGGTGATGGACCTATAGGCTAGCAGCAGGGGACAGCCTTGACACCCTTAGACCTGTAGAGATAAGGCAAAGTTGCAACCATGAGGTTGCCTAGCAGGAGCCCTGGTCTTTGGCAGACCATAGCCAGTAACAATCCATTTACAGCAGAAGGAAGCCAGAAGGTGATCACCCCAGCCTTTCTCTTCTCACTCTCCAATCTCCTGGCCATGACCCCAAGTGGCTGAACTCTTGAAGCCAGAGGACAAGAGAGGCATTGATGTGGTCCACAGCAATCAGCCTTCCAGGCCACAGAGCAGGATGGAGAAGGATAGTGGATTTGGAGGGGCAAACAGAATATCCAGTGCACACTTCCTCCTAATTTTTCTGGCTCTCTGTGATTCTTTCTCAGGCTCCTTTTCTGACCCCTCTTCTTATACTAACCTCATAAATATGTGTGTTTCTCAGGGCTTGGTCTTTGGTCCTCTGGTCTTTTCACTCAGTTCACTTTCTCCATGTGAGCTATCAATCGTCATGGCTTCAACCACTAGCTAAGTGTTGATATTTCCCCTTTCTATAACTCTTAGCTTTGAAATCTTTCTGGAGCTTTACACTCACATCCAGTTGTCTATTAGCTATCTCCATGGGCACCTCAAACTAAGTGTATACAAAACGAAACCCGTCAGCTCTCCCTAACCCTCCCCACTCACAGAATCTGATCCTCTGTGTTCTCATCTCACTAGCTACCCGGCTGCTCCTTCCAGAAATTTGAGTCATTCTTTTGATGTCTCTCTCCTCCTTTCCCTTATCTAACTCATTAGTCACTAACTACAGCCAATTCTAGCTCCTAAGTACCTTCCAAACATATCCCATCCTCTCTGTCCACATTGCCACAGCTTTTGCCTTGACAAGCTTTCACCTTGACACTCTGAGATCTATCGTAACAGTGCTTTCTGTATTTTCTGTATTAGTCATTATTCTCCAGAGAAACAGAATCAATAGGATACATACAGAAAGAAAAATACTTATTATGAAGAATTGGCTCATGTAATTATGGAGGCTGAGAGGTTCCACAATCTGTTGTCTCTAAGATCAAGGCCCAGGAAAGCCAATGGTAGAGTTCCAGTTTAAGCCCAAAGACTTGAGAACCAGGAGAGCCAGTGTTGTGAGTTGCAGTCTAAGTCCAAATGTCTGAGAACCAGGAGTGCTGATGTCTAAGAGCAGGAGGAGATAATGTCTCAGCTCAAGAAGACAGAGCAAAGCCCTCTTTTCTCCACCTTTTTGTTCTGTTTCGGCCCTCAATGGATTGGGTGCTGCCTGCCCACATAGGTGAGAGCAAACTTTATTCGGCTGCTGACTCAAATGCTAATCTCTTCCAGAAACACCTTCACAGACACACCCAGAAACCATGTTTTACCAGCCATCTGGGCATCACTTACCCATCAAGTAGGCACATAAAAATTAACCATCACACCTCCCGCCCTACATCTCTTTACTATCCCTCACACTGCAGCCAGGGGGTGGTTTCTAAAATGCAAATATGATTATGTGGCTTCCCTGAGTAGAGACCATCCATTGACTATAGTTTTTTTTGTTTCCCTAAATCTCCACATGTAACTGAAAGAGGTTCAGTCACTCACCACCTGCAGAGTCCAATTAACAAGATTGAGTCTGACATAAAGAAAGTGATGTAAATGACGAGTTGATGGGTGCAGCACAGCAACATGGCACAAGTATACATATGTAACAAACCTGCACGTTATGCACATGTACCCTACAACTTAAAGTATAATAATAATAAATAAATTAAAAAAAAAAAAAAAAAAAGAAAGTGACTTAATTCCAAAGCATAGCTTAGGGGAAGAAGTACAGATTCCTGCCTTTAAGGATATCGCTTCACTTTTGGGGCAGAAAGCAGAGGCTTTTAAGCAGGGACTTGGCATGAATGGCATGCAGGAGAGGGAGCAAGCAGGTGTAGGGTCTGCATGACTCGCTTTGGTGCTGTATCTACCAAGCTGGCACCATCGTGGGCAGAGCTAGGTTGTAAGGTGGCCACCGTCTTGAGATCCACTCCAGGTGAGAGAGAGCTCTGTTGCGAGAACACTTCAGGTTGTAAATTGACTGTTGTCTCTTGAGGCCATCTCTTGGTGGGAGAATTCCCTCTCTGGTGCATAGTTATTAGATTGGTGCAAAAGTAATTGCAGTTTTTGCCATTACTTTTGCCAGATTACCTTGGCACCAAGCTAATAGATAAGCTTGCTCTGTAGGAAGTGTCTGGTGAAGGGAAGGTAAAGGTTATAATTTCATTTATAAAGAGCTAAGAAGTGAGGAACAAGGGAAAAGGGGGAAGAGAAAAGAAGGAAAAAAATAAAACATAATCCATTCTTTTTCTCTTAGAAAAGAGGGGGTACTTGGTTATACACATGCCTGTCCATCTCCCCGTTCCTGTCCATGTTGCTCCGCCCAAAGCACTTTTTCACAAACAAGCACTCCTTTAGCTGACACATTCCCACTTAGGTGTCCGCCATATTGTTGTCTCCTCAGGGAGGACATCTCAGACCCCACACTAAGTTAGATTTCCCTGTTACAAATTCTGTCATTACACAGCATTGGCCTCCCTACATGAGAGCTTATCACAAGTAAAAATAAATAATTAGTCATATGATTAGGTTTAATGTCTGTCTGCCCCTTTAATACTGTAAGTGCCACACAAACAAAAAAATTGTGTCTGTCTCCCCAAGACTTGGAACTGAGTAGGTCCTTAATACATGCATTCATTAAATAAATGAAAGAGCAAACTTTAGTGCAGTGTACAAGGACATCTAGCATCTGTCCCTGCTTACCACCCAGATTGTATTTCATGGTGCTTTGCCCCATTCCTAACATCCAAAGTTCAAGCTGGTGCACCAAGTATAACTGCTTACAGTTACAAACTCACCAGACTATATATATCATTCGACTATGTCTTGGCCTATATTGCTGCCTGCTTTCTGGGTGGTACCTCTGGCCTCCCCACCAAGTCCCATCTCATCTGCCTGGCAAATGGGGTACATGAAGTGGGGAAAACCACTCAACATGTAGTCAACTTT